CTCTCCTCACCTCGCCTCCCCTCCCCTCCCCTCGCCGCTCCTCCCCTCGCCGCTCCTCTCCTTGCCGCTCCTCTCCTCTACTCTCCTCGCCACTCCTCGCCTCGCCGCTCCTCGCCTCGCCTCTCCTCTCCTCGCCTCGCCGCTCCTCTCCTCTCCTCTCCTCTCCTCGCCGCTCCTCTCCTCTCCTCTTCTCTCCTGTCCTCTCCTCTCCTCTTCTCTCCTGTCCTCGCCGCTCCTCTCCTCTCCTCTCCTCTTCTCTACTCCGTGATCTGAGCTGTGTTCTTCTGTCTGCAGGCTCGTGTTCAGGCTCTGGAGGGTCTGTCTGTGGAGGAGCAGGTGCTTCTGCTGGCTGGAGCTCCTCTGGAGGACGATGCTGAGCTGCTGAGCTGTGGCGTCACTGAGCACTGCACTCTCGAGCTGACCGCCAGACTTCTGGGAGGTATGAGGAAAAATTATACATTTGTGCATTTCATATATGTGACCCTGGAGCACAAAACCAGTCATAAGAGTCAGTTTTTTTTAATTGAGTTATATGCATATAAATGAGCTTTCCATTGATGTATGGAGATACAACTATTTGAAAATCTGGAATCTGAGGGTGCAAAAAAATCTAAAAATTGAGAAAATCATCTTTAAAGTTGTTCAAATGAAGTTCTTAGCAATGCATATTACTAATCAAACATTAAGTTTGGATATATTTACGGTAGGAAACTTACAAAATATCTTCATGGAACATGATCTTTACTTAATATCCTAATGATTTTTGGCATAAAAGAGAAATGTATAATTGTGACCCATACAATGTATTGTTGGCTATTGCTACAAATATCCCCCAGCGACTTAACACTGCTTTTGTGCTGCAGGGACGGACACACACACACACACACACACACACACACACACACATATATATATATATATATATATATATATATATATATATATATATATATATATATATATATATATATATATATAAAATATAACATTATATAAATGTAACTCTTTAGATTAGGAAACACAGATTCAGTGTTTTCCCTCAATAAACTCCTAATTTTCTGTTTACTGCTAGTAGTTATGTTTAGTTATTGGATAGAATTAAGGGATCCAGAATTGTCATGCAGAATAAGTCATTAATATGTGTTTTATAAACAGTGTCTGGGAGTAACTAGTTGCATGTAATTTTTTTATTTACAAAATTAAATGATGTAATGTAATTACAAAATAAATGTAACTGTAATCAGTTACTGAGAAAAAAATCTGTAATTAAATTACAGTTACTTATGAAAATGTTAACGATTACAAAGGGGGTTACATCTGAATTTCTTTCACACACACCCACATATAGATTTAATTGATTTCTTTCATAAATGATTGCTCTAAAATATGAGACACCAATGTTTAGGACATAGAATAGGACACATGCTTATTCGATAACTGTTTTATTTTATATATATATATATATATATATATATATATATGCTTTATTCATGTTTTTGATATATAAAGAAAACAATGTCATTAATCAATTTTTAATATTAAATTATACAAATAAATATTTTTTATAATTATACAAATATTTAATTAAATGTAAAAAAAATTCTATAATTTATTTAGTGCTGTCAAACGATTAATCATGATTAATCGCGTCTAAAATAAATTTGTTCACGTGTGCGGTGTATATTTACAAATATATATATATATATATAAATATGAAAAGCGTTCGATTCCTTTTTTCTGTCTGATGAATATTACTGAATTTAAAAATGTACATACTTTAGTTCATTTTTATTAAAAAAATATGTACATGTATACATTATTATACATGCATTTTCTGTACATTTTCTTTTTTATTTTATTCTTACCTCGGAATTGTTTGACGGCACTATATTTGTTAATATTTAATGTTAAATATAATTAATTTTAATATTCTATTTCATTATTTCATGATATTTTGTTATAAATATCTAATATTTAATATCAAAATAATGTTTTAATATTTAAATGTATTTAAAAACTTTTTTTTATAGTTTTCTAAATAAAATCATTTGTTCATATTAATTATGATAATATTAAAATTATGAAAATTTTTATTTTTAATATTTAATATTAAATATAATTATATATATATATATATAATTAAATTTGTATATGTATATATATAATAAATTATATAAAAATAATATCACGAAGATCAATATTTTTTCATCTTGATGGTAATATTCCTGGGCGTGTGATTTTCTCATTAGTTGATGTGTGTGTGTCTGTGTTGATCAGGTAAAGTCCACGGATCTCTGGCTCGCGCCGGGAAAGTGAGAGGACAGACACCCAAAGTAAGTCCATTATATGTTGTTTGTTTGTTAACTGAAGCGTAACATTAGCGGTGGTGTGTAAGACAGATGAGGTTCTGTCTGCCTGTAGGTGGACAAACAGGAGAAGAAGAAGAAGAAGACGGGCCGCGCCAAGCGTCGCATCCAGTACAACCGGCGCTTCGTGAACGTGGTTCCCACCTTCGGCAAGAAGAAGGGCCCCAACGCCAACTCCTAAACCTGTCCAAACTCAGAGACATGCATTCATAATAAACATTCTCTCTGAACTCCAGCTGCTCTGCTGTGATTATTCCGCATAGCTAACATGCTAAATATGATCTATGAGTCTATGGAAAAATTAAATTAAATGCTGTTCTTGTAGTTTATAATGAAAAACCAAACCAAAAAGAATCATGTAATTTAATATTAACCACCAAACTTGCATTTTATAGCTGTGTGATACTTGCATGAGTATGAAATATATATCCATTATAGTTATCAAATATAATAATTTGATAGGTTTAAAGTATACAATGAATACGCTCGCTTTCTACATGCATCTATGAAAAATATATAGTGCCATAAAAGTGTGCTTTTATAATTTATTTAAAAATTGTAATTAAATGTAATACATAAAAATGTATGTATAATACAGCTAATTATTTAAATTGTAAAAAAATTTTCAGAGATGTATTTTCATAATTGTGACAATGCAGCACAAAAGCAGTGTTGAGTCGCTGGGGGATATTTGTAGCAATAGCCAACAATACATTGTATGGGTCACAATTATACATTTCTCTTTTATGCCAAAAATCATTAGGATATTAAGTAAAGATCATGTTCCATGAAGATATTTTGTAAATGTCCTACTGTAAATATATCAAAACTTAATGTTTGATTAGTAATATGCATTGCTAAGAACTTCATTTGAACAACTTTAAAGATGATTTTCTCAATATTTAGATTTTTTTGCACCCTCAGATTCCAGATTTTCAAATAGTTGTATCTCGGCCAAATATTGTC